TCCCCTTAAGTAAAATCTAAAGGCTTTATCTATAAATGTAGCGGTAGCGCTGTAGCGGCAAAACCTCGTATCGCTACTCAAATATGTAGCGGGCGCTACCGCTACCGCTACATTGCCTTAAATGTAGAGTCGCTACCGCTACCGCTACTGAAAATGTAGCGGCCGCTACATGTAGCGCGCTACTGCCCACCTCTGCTGACTAGGCTGTACAAACGCAATCTTATTAGTCAGCTGGTATATGCACATGACAGCAAACTCGACGTTGACCACAGACCCACGGTTGACAAAAGTACCTGTTAGAGGCAAACTCGCCGTTGACATCAGAATAGCCTGTCACTTTGGCATTTGTCAGCAGACTAAATTTGTCAGCGAATACTGTAGAAAGCTGGTACACTTTTCACAGGGAACAAATGTGGCAGCATACTCACCGTTGACTACGAGCACTGCGGAGGATGAAGCCGTGCTGGCACTGTTGGTCGCTGAGCAGGTGTAGTTACCAGCGTGTTTACCCAGCGTTTGCTCAATGGAGAGGGACGATGAGAAGTCATTGGCGTGTGTGATGATCACATCGCTGCTTCCAGCGTCGACTTCCTGGCCGTTCTTGTACCAGCGGAGGCTCAAGGGAGGGTCGCCGGCTAAGACGAGGCACATGGCCTGAGCCCGCAGCCCTGCTCGGTTGCCTCCCACGAAAGTCAGAGGCGCAAGCTGCGGGGGAACTGAAACAAAGCATGTGGTGGCTTGGACAGTGATGGATTTTAAATGCACGAAAATCACAGCAAACAACAAGTTTTCCATTTCAGAGGTTGCCTGTAGGATAATTGAACTGCCAAGATTAATTTTTACCGATGTTTAAAATTCTACAGTTCCGAATGAATCAGTCCACAGTCACAGCCATAACTTCACCACAATGTAATTAAGAAAAAATCACCTTTAACTTGAATGTGGAGCGTCTGCTGCTCGGAGCGGCCCTGCTTGTCGAGCGCCGTGCAGGAGTAGCTGCCTTCGTCACCCGCACGCGTGATCGCAGCGATCGTCAGCGTTCCATTGACGTTCACGCGCTGGTGATGCGTCGCCGGAAGCTGCACGCCGTCTGTATAGAACAGTAATGTTGATATTTAACGTCGCATTGTGCCTGCTATAGGCTGCACGTGCTCTTAATTGGGTAAAGGGAACTAGCTGCGCCTCGTCTGGGAACAAAGTGCCACTGACTGTGAATGGCGTATAATGCCTATAAGACTATAAGAGGTGTACACTCCCATCACGAACCTGATGAGCAGAGATCAGTTTAAGAGACATGCACGTGGCTGATCACGTCGCCATGAGCTGACACGTACTGACCCATCACGAACCTGATGAGCAGAGATCGGTTTAAGAAACATGCACGTGGCTGATCACGTCGCCATGAGCTGAAACGTACTGACTCATCACGAACCTAATCAGCAGATTTTAACTTAAAGGCGGCCTTTTAAAGTTTTTTTCTAATACGATTACATTTTATGAATTGCCCAGAGCCGAAATTCAAGAGTAAGATGATTATAACTTACATCAATGCGTGAGATCTGCGATGATGATTAATTAAGTAGTGAGGGAAAAAGTCAGAGATAAAAGTTTGATAAATTAAACATAATAAGATTAAAGTCACACAAGTATGAAAATTTTGTTTAACGATAAAATAGTTTGAGGAATAATCAAGTTTTAGAAATTACACAATTATATTGAATTCAAAATGAAGGAAAAAAGAGAAAGTTTTTGATCTTCGAATTATTACTCATATAATAATATTTTGGAGATTATAAGAGCGTTGACTTACTTCAAGTAAGTCATCACGATGATGGCTGAGATAAACGCACTTTATCTAAGTCCAAAGCGGAGTTCAGGTGCAGACAGACAAAGACTTTCAATTTGAAACTCAGCGAGCAGCACAAAATAGCGCACACTTCATCATCACAGCGAGCGTCGAGATCCATTAGCCCAGGCTCGTCTTTTGTGCGGGTTATAAAAGCTTCACGGGGCCTTTTATTCCACAAGGCTGTCTTTGCGGTGGCAAATTCAATGAAAATATTTGTTTCCATGGATACCATCAACTTCAATCATGAACATCAAATTCATCATAGAAATAAACGTCGACATTAGAAATTTCATAATTATCCCTTAATGCCGATAAGGACAGATGAAGAAATGCTAACCGAAATTTAGCTCCTGAATCTTGTTAAGATTGTCGCTAAATAAGACGTGCCGATTCCGTTTAAGTTAAGACGTTAATAAGTCCGTCTATAGGTTCACCTACATTATTTTTTTCAGCCGACTATATAGGAGACAGCATGAGCAAAAGTATTGTGCTTATGTCTATAACGTTTTAAAACGTTATTACATTAATAATGTTTTAAAACGTTAAGTGACTCACTGCGGTGGTTACCAGTTGCGATTTATTTTGTCGACGAAATTCATTCAGTTATTTTAATTGAGGTGGCCAGCTGAAGTAAATGAGGACGTTTTTCCATTATTTTTATGTGAAACATCTGTTCCCTTTAGCTATTATCATGCTATTTTTTAAAAAATTCGTTCACGTTTCTAATTAACCAAGGTTTGATGAAAAATTTCACAAATTTATCTGGACATAAATTTTGAGGCCTTCCACAACTAAACGTAGTTGTGGTAGCTCTCAGGCCTTAGAGCTGCGGAGTTCAAAGGGGAATTTTGTCAGACCTCACACCCACGAATTGCCGACGGTGACTGATTTTGAGGAGCTTCTTCAGTTAAAGGGACTGAAGGAATTAGAAGAATGTAAGTCAGGATGTTGTGGCTTTTATGCCAACACATCAGTTCTAGATCACCAAACCTACATATATTGAGTCGTTACTCATTCCAATATAGGGTGGCAGACGTCACTCAACCTTGTAGAAGCGAGTGATAATCATGGAAAAAGATTCTATTAACACTATACGTTGATTAAGGGCAACTAAAACGACAGTTGAAACCCTGGCATGTTGTGAGACTTCGGCTGGATGCACCTGAGTTACAACTCGTAGCCATATACAACAGATCTTCATAGCACATCTACTTTCTGTGCTTTGACTAATAATTGTGTCATCCCAAAATAATTATTGAATCTGTGTACTGTATCTGTCACTGTCCGGTTCTATCCGTTGGGGGCGGATCCATCGCTTGACACGCATATATATTTGCTAAAACTAAAATAATACCATTTCAACACCAGAAAGCAAAGGGGACCAAATCGAGGTACAAATTTGAATTTAGCACAGCGTATTTAACAATCGATCGTATCCCAGTACTCGCCTTCGACCAAAAAATTTGGCCTATAAATCAGTGTGGTCAATTAGATGAGTCGACGCTCAAATAAGGTAAATAAGGTACAGGTAAAAGAATAGACTGGAAACACCGGATTGGATTTCAGGTGCATGCGACGAATTGCAAGTTTGCTCGAAATTCGAACAGGTCATCAAGTATTCCTTTGATGAAAGACGAGCAGCTCTGACTACGGTACATTTCAACTAGGCCATACTGAAACCCATCAGAAAACAATTACTTGAAACACATTTGGACAGCTCGAAATTGCACTAGATGAAAGATTGAAATTGAGACTTGCTTGAAAGCCAGAGTTAACTAAATTGTCAAGTTAATAGCAAGCCATGAAAATATGTTTTCTCTTAAACTGGAACGCATCAACTAATGAATGTTTTTAATCCGTAATTGCAGATGGAATCAAATGAATGCTAAGGCGGGAAATCGAAACGAACAGTCCCATAGAAAATTGTAAGAATCCAAGAATAAAAATATGTGTAAAAATAACAGCAACATAATATTTGCCAGCTTAAAAAGAGGAAAATGTCGATATAAATGTCGCCAATAATCGTCGATAGGCGTGATTCAAGTTTTTAATATGTTATACAAATATGCATCATAATATTTACGAAAGATGTTATGAGATGAGTTCGAATCCATGTTAACACTTTGATAATGACCAAGATGTTGACCGTAAAATTACATCAGTGGCGGACAGAGTTTGGGTCTCATGTAATAAGCGTCAAGGGGGAGGTAGTTTAAAGGATATTTATACACGAGGAATTTCCTTCGTCCCGCTACAATCAGAGGGAAGCTTCGTCCTGTGGCAGAGGGAAGCTGTCCAGGGTCCAGGTGATGTGTGGCGTCACCATGGCGTGCGCGTGAGCGACGTCGCGCGGCCCCACAGCGCGGCACTGATACGCGCCCGCGTCCGTCGCCAGCGCGGACTGCACGCGCAGCCTGCGCAAGTGCGACGGCCGCGCAGCGCCAGGCGCGCCGAACTGCGCGCGGTCCTCCAAGACGCGGTGTCTTCCGTCGCTCCTGGCGGGCAGCGGGGCGAGGGTGCGTGAGGGAAGCAAGATGAGGGCACAGGGAAAAGTCGTGTAGCGCAACAGGTGCACATCATAGTGTTTGTGATGAACCTATATAGTAATTGCCAATATTTGAAACCATGATATTTACTACTAAACCACCCCTAATAATCTACTTATTAGTTAATTACTAATTAATTACCTACGCTTTGAAATCAATATGCTTATGCTCACACGCTTTTAAAAGTTAATGAGAGGAAAATCACGATCCACTTAGTACAGCATATGCAAGTTTCTCTTTTCACAGCAAAGCATTCCAGCTTATAGACAAGACTAATCCTGTGATAGTAGCATAGCTTAGATAACTCACTAATGTTACGATTATTTCAAGTTCAACAATAATTTGTTCGTCGTCAAACCTCTCCCTATTTGTTCGAAAACCGTGCAACACATCACATACAGCGGAGTCAGTGATCGTGCGTGATGACACACCGTTTTACATTGACATTTATATCAGAAAACGTTGGGTAGTGGTAGGCTGTTAGTTACCAGAAAACTCACCAGAAGTGGCTGTCATCTTTGTATAATAGTACGTCAAATAACGTGAAGCCAGTGGCTGTACATAATGGCTCACTATATGGGCTAGTTCTTTATATAATAGTACGTCAGATATCTGGAAGCCGGTGACTGTACAAGAATATTCACTGTACAGGGCCGGATTCTTTGTACCAACAATACGTCATAAACTGGGAAGCCAGCGACTGCACATGAAAACTCACTGTATCGGGCTTGCGTCTTTGTACCACAGTACGTCAGATACCGGGAAGCCAGTGACTGTGCAGCGTAGTTCCAGAATTTCGCCCACCATCACCTCTGTTACTTCAGGAGTCACCTGAAGCATAAATAAATCCCAGTGAATAATCATGTTAATTGAATGCATTAGAAATGTCTTTGAATCACATTAAAAGTCAGGAACCTGCAAAGATATGGTCAGGAAAGAGAAATGGGAAACTAATTGATTATGCAACAACTTTTGCATTCTCAATAATCCTAAGATCCATGCATGGACACTTTCCGAAAATACTAATGAGTAATATGGAGAATTAATTCATGTTCATATTTTATTCATAATTAGTTCATAATTAGTTCAATTCAATTCATAATTAGTTCACTAAATCATAACGATTTAGTGAACCATACTTACACTCTGTAGAAAATAACTACATTACTTTCGATGGGACCTATATAGAATCTTTTCATACATTATTGCGACAGGAAGTTACAGAAATTAGTTACTAAAGCTAGGACCAAAAAATGTGCGACCAATAGACTGCAATGATAAGGTTGCCAAATAAAAATTAAGGATGACGCATCGATTATTATAGGTGGCGATCGTAGATTAAAGGTGGCGTAACAGTGGGTGATCACATCTGTCAAAAATCGACCGTAAAACACCAAAAAATCGAGAGGATGGCGAGTAACGGTCATCGAGCGAGAAAGTACACGTTTACGTTCGTATCTGTTGGGTTGGCACGCGTCAGCTTTGAGCTTGTTTCGTACTAATTTTCACCACGTCCTGCTTGAAATACATGCTTTCCGGGCAATTTTTTTCGTCAAAATGTATCCTCTTTACGCAGAGGGCAAAAGTGAAAATTCGGTTTTCTATCGCTGACTTCGATAGTGAAATTTAATAATCTGTGAGAAATGTACTTATACCGTCAGATAATTACTTCTAGTTTACTCCTACATTTCGAATACTAGTGTAGATCTCAGTATATCTTCCCTAAGCAAAAAATTATACTCGTATATTGATCACATATTGTTTATGTATTTATTTTCATTTTTTTGTCTTTTCATTTTCAGGTTTAACGGGGTCAATCAATCAATAGAAAGTAACATGTTGTATAAATAAATAATCAACCGAACTGACTATGTTTTCGATATATTATAACTCAAAATGCCAATACAGTCGGGATCGATAATGCATGTCGAAGTTATCTTGAGATGTTATTCTGCATTCGATATAAAAAAAATCGAGAAAAAGAAACTAAATTTACCGCACTGTAAACGGTTTAAACTCATGGGAGCCGGCGAGATGACCAAACAGCAAAATGGTAACAAAAAATTATTTTTGAATTTTCGGGCACGAGGACGTTGCTGAGATCCTGAGAGCACTTCACACCGCGTATGCAAAAACTGACGCGCACATCACAGAATTTTGCGTCTCAAATTGAGGAAGGGATGAACGAGCAGCCCAAGCTCCTTTTATCATCGCAACTGAAACTAGCAAACTATTTTCTGAAGAGGAACATTTTAGGGACAAAGCGTTAAAATTCGCGAAAAGTTTTTAAAAAATTTGGGAGTATTGGAACTACGACCGACGATGATAATATGTGTATACGATATTCAAAAATGAAATATATGGATAGCGACTCATAGCGTGTCCGTAAACATATTCAGAAATATTTTTTACCGAGTGTATTAATTCGTTTCGTGTTTAATGTGTCTTTATAATGCTAGGAAAATCAATTTCTAGTCACAGATAATAAATAGAGTAACTTTTTTTATCTGTACTCGTAGACCACCGCGATTCAGCTGAAGAAAAATCGACCGTAATCAGTCTTGGTAGATGAACTAGTAATATATTTCTTAGAGGTTGAAGTCTGGAAGAGATAAAAACTAAAAATAAAAAAATGGACTTTATAATTGTCGATCAACCTAAAAACGGAGAGGCTTGCTTCCACAAGACAATAAAAATTCTTATAAAGGGAAAAGTTACAAGAAAAATTAAAATTTTCTAAAACTTGAAGGAAAATCGTTCATAGAAAATGTTGCACGTCTGGAAACTTTTACTAACGATTATATAATATCATCATTATTTGAGCAATTAGTCACATAGAGATAATGGAAAACAATCAGGCAAATGAAACACATATTGCTCATTTATATGAGCCATACCACATTTCAATCAAATAATGATATTAAATTTATTTATTTGTTTAATTCCCAGGTGATCTTCGACGACACTGCGGGGTCATTTATGACTAAGTGTATAGTGCTCAGGTAGATGTGCTAGATGATAGTCATAAGTCCTTTACTTTAGACATAGTATATATACCAAATATTTAAGAAATTTGACAATAAATTGACATCCTATTGTAGCATTCATACACTAACTGAAATTCAAGTCGTAAAAATTGCATTCAGTAAATATTGTATATGCTACCTGTCGGAAAGTTAAGGTTTCAACTCCTGCGTATTTCTCATGTGTTGAAATATAATCACGAGAAACATAATTTTGGATCCCTATCACAATGAAATGATATCTAGGAAAAGTAAATCTCCGTGATGGTGCAAACGGACCTGAACTTTCAGAGGTATGGTGACCTCGAGGTGTGTGGTGAGGGTGGTGACGCCGACGGAGTTGTTCACCACGCAGCGATAGTCCCCAGCATCGTCAACACCCACGACAGGGATGACGAGGAACCCACCGACGACGAACGAATGCTCACGCGGCTTCACGTGAGCCACCAGCGTTTGGTCCTTGTACCAACTTGAGGACACAAAAAGAGGAATTTGAAAGCTGTTTTACATAAGGCCGGGTTAGTAATTTCAGAACAGTTTGATAAAGTTAAAAAATGGCGAGCGTTGTATACCGGAAATTAGTGTCGAAATTATTATGCAGAGCATTTTTCATAAATTATGCATAATTATACAACATTTTTTCTAGGAATCGGTTGAATATGGCGAGCGTTGTATACCGGAAATTAGTGTCGAAATTATTATGCAGAGCATTTTTCATAAATTATGCATAATTATACAACATTTTTTCTAGGAAAATGATTGAAATCAAAATTGCGGGACGGCAGCTCACATGAAGGTGGGCGGTGGGTTGGCCGGCGCATGGCAGGGCAGCGTCGCGGCAGAAGCTGCGGCGACCGTCACGCTGCTGTGGCTGCTGTGCTGCGGCCCTGCGCTCTCTGGCGCCTTCAGCTCAACGGTGTAACAAATTAATTTTATGTTTAGATTATTGATAACTTATTTTATTTATTGTTTCCGCGAGCATAGGGGTTATTATAATCACTATTAGTAGACACAAATATTAGACCAAATACATATAGACACTATAGATTACTTTGAACCAACTCAGAAATGAAACTAGCTGATATCAACACTTGCTTATCCATTAAACCAAAAACCTATAATGCTGTGGCTTATAACATTGTCGATTAATTATGCTTGTATATTCGAGTNAACACTTGCTGCTCCAGTGAAATAAAAAATTTATAATGTTAAGGTTCCATCATCAATTAATTATGTTTGTATATTTGAGTCAGAATGATCTGCTTGAGAGGTGATTGATATTCAACGCAAAATTTGGTGACAATGAAGCTTGGAACCTTTTGGGGTAATAATGTTTGTTATTCGCACCTACTGTAAGAGAAGGCTAAGAACGGAACCTTTTATTTAAGTAATACAGCAGAGAATATATATGCTCTGTAAAAAAATTCAGTTCCGAGAGGCAGGGAGAAATTTATTACTGATCATTCTTAGTAATTATTGTTAAATAACTTAGGTTTGAATTTAATTTTGAATTTTAATATAAAATTTTGAATTTAATTTTATGACTGCTTATCTCACCCCTTAGTATTTACATATACTCGTATGTTTATAATTTATTGGAAAATTCTAAGTATACGTAAAAACTACACATCTGTTAAATGTACATTATTCATGCATCAGACTTGCTTGAGGATGATTTAAAGTCAATATAAGTGAATACAGAAATTATTTACTTGGTGGCTTAAGGTATTTTAATGTTCAGTTTCAATTCCGTAGACTTTGATAAAATTGTGACTGTGATCGCAATAGTGACAGTTTTTTTATATCTGTTATGAAGACAATTTTTCATGAAGGCAATTATGTATGCTGCTAACTAATAATAATAGATTAAACTAGATTTTAATTCATTTGGCGGTAATTTAAGAATTTTGATGAATAGTCTTCGTCACATTAAAAATTTTAGGGTTAAAAGCGCGTCATTCATTGAATATATTCCGTAGAGAATTCCTATATTCGACATTAAACCATAGCGCAGTCACATTGAAATTTGGCTCTCGTCCATGATCAACCAATATATTAGAATGAAGAAGATGTCAAGAAATCAGAACAGATTTCTTGAAATTACCACAGATCTTCGGCAGTGCACCTACTACAATTACGTGTATTTTTTGGTTCCTTGAAGAATAATAAAAGATAAATAAGTCATGAAGAAAGTAGATTGCAGAAAACGACACACTCTAATTTATGTAAAAAAAAACATTATCAAATGATATGGACGCTCTGATGATTTTAAGAACGCCTTCGCTGCACTGAACACGCGGAAGATTATCAAATGGCATAGACGACATTATGAGCTGGTGGAATCCTTTCGTTACAATGAACACGCAAGACGTGTAGATAATCAGAAAATAATTTTGACCGAAATTACACTATCCACGTGTTTATAGATAAATCTTTCAATTTTAACTATCGATTTAGTAGGAAAATATCCAAGTTGTTCAACAAAAGTAGTATAATAATAATTATTGTGTTAGTTGGAAGAAGCTCGCTCGAAAAGTTGATCGTGAGGCATGAAACATTTCAGTGTTCTCCTGCTTAATCGATACCCAGCAATTAGCCGATAACGTTAAGCTCGTTAACGATGCTCAGAGCGAGAAGTGTTACTACTGCACAAGCAAAGCATAGCACTTTGATAACCAGACTCCCAGTATTCGAAGGCCGCGCTTCGTCTTGTAAATGGAGCCTCGGGCATGTACTAATCTGCTCCAGTTTGTCTTGGAGAGCGACACGTGCGGCGGCCGAGCGCGGCTCCAGAGACAGGCAAAAACATGCGCTCTGGATTCATGCGATAAAGATTAGGCTGCTGAAGATTAGGCTGCTGAAGATTAGGCTGCTAAATATTAGGCAGCTATCTACAGGGGTTGGACAAAATAAGGGAAACATCTGACATTTTGATATCGTAACTTTTTAACATGTTACAAATAACGAAAACGCGATATTTCTATTTTTATTGTTTCCAGTTGCTGCTAGTTTTTATTTTATTCATGAACAGGTACTTTTAAGTAAATTTATGTGTCCATCACCTAACATATAACCTATAAATGGCAAACATCTCTGACTTTCGAAGAGGCTAAATTGTTGCTGTCCTTATGACAGGCGCTAATGTGACAGAAACCCGAATACTTGACGTTTCTAGAGGTACTGTCTCAGAAGTAATGACTGCTTTTGAAAGAGAAGGAAAAACGTCCTCAGCAAAACACAAGTCTGGCCGAAAGTCTAAGTGGTCTGAAAGAGACCGTCAGTACCAAAATCAAATTTCGAGGGACAATCGAAAGACCACGGCTGTTAATATTACTGTAGACCTCAATGAACGCCTACAGAGCCCTGTTTCCATTAAGACTGTCCGCCATGTGCTGCACTGATCTAGATTCTATGGAAGAGCTGCAATTGGAAAACCTATGGTTTTAAATACAAATGCTTCAGAGCGTTTAGAGTGGTGTAAAAATTCTCCAGAATTTGTCCCTCGAGCTCTGGAAAATGTGATTTTATCTGGCAAATTATCATTTACCTTATTTCCAACCTCTGGCCGAGTTTACGTTAGGAGACAGCCAAAAGAGTCATTGATCCAGAATACCTTCTCTCAACCGTAAAACATGGCGGGGGATCTGTGATGTTCTTTGTTTATTTTAAATCTGGCGGACTAATAATTTCTCTTCAGGGAAGAATGAACAGACGTGACTATTTAGGTATATTGGAGGACCAAGTTCATCCAATGGTTCAAGCACTGTTTCCGGAGGAGAACGCCATATTTCAGAACGATAATGCCCCGATACATACAGCTGTATAATTGTTACAAAAATGGCACAAGGAACATTCTGACGAAGTTGAGCATCTCATTTGGCCACCACAATCACCAAATTTGAATAGTTTATTAAACATTTATGGTCAATTTAAGAGATGCAAGTCAGAAGTCGTTTCCCGCCGCCATATTGTTTTCAAGAGCTGTGGGGGGTTTTTTATGTGGGCTTTTTTTGTATAGTGCTATATTCTTCTCGTCATCACAGTAACTTTTGCTCGTGATAGTTCAGTACAAGGTGCATTTAATGAATAATCCAAATGCGTATGATCATGACATTTTCTATTTGACCAAACAACGCACTGTTGGAAGAAGCAAGCTTCCATGTTATAATTTATTTTTGCTATGCATTATGAGGGTTCTATCTAATTCAAACCAATTAATTATTCTCCATAAAAACTTCGTGACCGGTGGATTGGCCGCATTGGACAATATGACATTCAATATATCGAAGGTTACATGACGTTACTGAATGTGATTGAAACTATCAACAAAAATAGATGATCTGAGCAACCGCATAACCACAACTTGGAATATACTCGTATTTCAGGACATTTACTGGTATTACTTTAGATTAAGTGCATCCAAAAAAAGGGTGTTTTTTAATTATATGTTTTTTTGGGTGTAAATTAGGAATCTGAAATCCGTTTTTGGCGGTCGGCATCGGGAATTTTGAATGGAACCTGTTCCTAACTGGACCTAACCTGCGAGGTTTTCGTTGATCGGCTAAGTTTTTTCTATGTTTGGAGTCCGTCATGCGGCCGGAAAAACCTAGCCAATAGGTTTTTTCTACGTTTGGAATCCGTCCGGCGGTCGGAAAAACCTAGCCAATCAACGAAAACCTCGCAGGTTAGGTCCAGACCAGAAATTTTTAATGGAACAGGTTCCATTAAAAATTTCCGATGCCGACCGCCAAAAACGGATTTCAGATTCTTAATTTACACCCCAAAAAACATATAATTAAAAAAAACTTTTTTTTTCGATGCACTTAATCTAAAGTATCACCCATTTACTCATTAGGTTGGGACGAAAAAATCTAATAGTTTACTTAAATCAAGCCAAAAAATTATCACTTTAGTGTTTACGGTGTTCGGAATTTATAGCCATGCAAAATCGTGAGATTCTTTTTTGGGAAATAGACATGCAAAATTGGGAGATTCATTGATACACTCCGTATATTGGTCTAATGTTCGGAATTTGACCGCCTTTTCATTGCGAGAGCACCTAAAAATTGATATTTTCCATGAACTATTTCAGCCTACAGGAAATGAATTATTACCGGCTGTGGCTGTGATGTACAGTATTACTCGTTGAATTTTTAGTTCCAGTTGATTAGCTCATCTCGTGTTGCTTAGGTTTTCACAAAAAACAATAAAAATTCATACAATTTTAAAAAATCGTAAAGCTCTCTGACCACATACACGCTTGAAAAGCACTGTAAACAAACGTTGCAGCACGAAAACCCATTACTGCATACCACCATATCGTGCTTTCACAACAGAACCTTACTTATAAAGTGAACGGCAGTTTGAGCAGCTTTGTGAATCTGAAATACAAGAAAAGGTCGATCTCGTTCCCATCAAAATTTGACGGGTCAAAATTGGACACCTCTTAGTCGGTACGGTAAAACATGACGTGTGAAATAACTGATAAAATTATTCTACTCATGCACAAGATATTGAAACAAGACTTTCTAAAATTAATTTCTGTAAATTTTAGTTGTAAATATTCTTAGTTTTCAATTTTTGATTTGATCCTTTTTGAACGACGTATCTTCTAAAATAAATTTGGATCTGCGTGCTTGCTCCACATCTACACCGATGTAGTTCATCCGTCCGTAATGCAATAGGGTGTGGGCGCAATTTCGGTTTTAAGCTAAATAAGATAATTAAATAATTAATAAATTAATTAAGAATAAATTATTAAATAAGAAATTTAATTGCAGAGACTTGTTACGAGTTCAGCCCCATTCGAGGCGATATCAAGATTATATGCGCTGACTAATTTATTTCTGATTTATAAAATGTGAAACTGAGTTGGTGTGGATGCAGCAACGGGTGCAGCAAGAACGCCCCTGACAGGATTTAGCAGAGCGAGTCGGACGGTAACCATCCATGTACAAGCATTTACCATGACTCTAATCGCAAGTGGAAAGGATTCTGGCCACTTGCATCTTGAAAACTCCCTCCGACATGTTAAGTAGTCCTTTCATTGTTTAGGTCACTGTCGTGGTAAAATGTTAAAAAGAAAACAAAAACGTCCATCACAATTGCCAGCAAACAATTGTGACGAAGTCAAATGAACGCAGATTTTACTATGCCAGCAATCCATCGAGTAGAAGCCATATGGACCTGTAACTAAAACATTGTCAGGACAGCATGCAATGCTTTGTAACCTGGAAGATGATGCAAGAACAATTCTTCGGCAATTGGTGGCGGGATTTTACAAAAGATTTCGGCAAAAGATTTTACGGCGTAGAAGCTGTGGTACATGGTCGCAAGAATATTATATGAGTGGGGGGCGACATAACCAACAACAGCCCCTGGAAACGTTCAGCTCAAATGCGTTGTTGAGAAGTTATGGCCTATGCGTACTTTCACGACTTTAAATGTGGTATGATGACGCGAGGCTGATGGGATACGCTGAAAATTATATCAATAATAAGAGTCCTTAGAAGCCGAGTATCATCAATTAGTTAGGGTAAAGAAACGACTATCTCAGGTTCTCGTGTCTATTTAAATTAGTTGCCTTCATTCATCGCCCGACCATTGAAAACTACACTGCAAGATTCGAAAAAAGTTTCAACAATCTCGAATCGTTCATCTTGGTCGGATGGACCCAGAAGTACGTTTACTCCGATCTATCGATAAAAACTAGCTGAAACGTGTAGGGCATACAGCACAATAATACTGAACCTTGTTCTAAAAGGTTCAAATAGTAGACAAACTATTGCCGAGAAACTACCTAAAATCATTATATTATTTAAAATCAACAACCATCACTACGACGATGTTGGTATAACAGCGCAGTCACATTGAAATAATAGGCGATGTAAATTGAGACCGTTGATCAGCACAATTTGTATATGAAGTATGAAAATAGCTTCACACGGAAAATAATTGAAAGGGGTTTTTTCAGATGCCGATATTTCAACCTACGTGAACCTGAAGCAGCTGCCAGTTACATTTAAAGTTCAGCAAGGCAAAATTTAATTGTAAAATTGTTAATAAAAGCCAAATACTCTAATTAAGATTAGTCTCTTGTTAAAGTTATTACCGAAGGTTAATTACGACACCTTTATGTGTCGGCTACATTAAAACTGAAGTGGAGGGCAGTATAAGTCACAACAAGTATAAAAACAACTAAGTAAGGCGTAGTAAGGTTGACGCATTCAAAGTTCATCCTAGAAGTGACCATTGTTTGCAGATCTTCCATAAGGAGCATCCGTGCTTCCTCTAACCGTTGCTCCAATCCTTCCTTATTTTCAAATAATCTATAAACCAATGAGAAGTGATGGTACACGAGTCTCATTATAGTTCTTCGTTCATGCCGGTTCAGAACAACTGCAGCGGCGTCAATATTAGGGCACGATCGCTCTATTTCCTGTACCAAGAATCTTAATATTTGCCTGAACGTTTTCCATGACGCGGTTGCCAAAAGCTCTTTTTCAGCAGGAATGATCTGTTCATTATCAGACCTGAAGATCATTCTGGCGTTGTCAATTACATTTAGAAACTTGGCGATATTAATGACACTAAGGTTTACTATGAAAGAAGAAACCTCCTTGAACTTTATGGCAGCCAGAATACTAGTCCGAGTTAAGCTGTTGGCCGAGTAACCAGGTAGGAGACGTTGCAATGTTAGGTATAGGCGATTTATCGACTCTGTGACAAAGCGATTGTAACTTCTACCAACCGCGCAAGTGTTGGTTAAATCGCTAAGATTAATTACAGACTTAGTTCCATAAGGCCGAATTGTGTAATTTTGAAAGTCTACTTTAGCTGCCGTCAGATCAATCTGTGATAAGTGTATCTCCATACTCGTCCTTATGACCGTCGGATGACAACATGAAGAGAAGTATGAAATGAGGCTGCTCTTGTCGTAATATGAAGAGAGGAGAGGACCCTTGCTGTTGTACCCTTCCAGTACTTCACGGTCTGAGATCATGTCTTGGTCAGTGTACTTAGAAATCTGAACGGGGAAGAAATTAGTTACGAGTTTACTAAAATGTTTAAAGATTGTAATACACTTTTCTGACCATACATCATTCCATCAACATATGTTATCAACATTGTTATCAACTACGTAAGTTTCGAAAGTTCGATCTGAATAATGTACAGAATAGTGAAGAAGACTCAATTTAAACACTATATAAAACTTTAAACCCATAAAAGGTTTACTCAACGGATATCCGGCAACTATGTCGTGCATTATGACTAAGCTTCCATTCAATGCGGGTCAAATTAATAGCATGTTTGATTGCTCTGATTCAGTACAAGGATTAAATTTTATTTCACCATACGTATTTTGCTTCGAGGAGCCGAAAACTGTCAGGCTGTGTCGGCAAGTTTGAGGTCAGACTCTACGCTGTTTAGGTTGTGATGCTCGACTAGTTTGGTACTCAAGGCATTGTCCCAATGCTTTATACAGCAAAAAATTATCCTGTCATATCCAGAATAATCAATTCTGCATTTAAAACATTGGATCTGATAGAGAAGCTTACGACATTGGGGTTTGCACCAGAGCATCTTGTTTGAGCTATAGCCACTCCTTCAAGAAACTCCAATAAAAAAAACCATGGTCAACTCTTAATTCAAATAGCAGCGCGATAGAACGACGAATTATCCATCAAAGAATGAATAGATTTGAATTGGAAACCAATGAATTTAACAGCATGGCTTTGCAGAGCCGGCACAGTGATGAGGAACTTATAATTGTGGCCTGTTTAAGTTAAGAGTTCAAGAGTGACTTCCCTTTTAGATAACACTGTACGCGAAAAAAATCTTTTCTTTTTCTAGGGAGAGAATAGAATAATAACTCACCGCCGATTGCTCCATGCTGTAGTGTTCAGTTAGTCGTGTCGAATCGAGCTTTACTTGACCAATTTTTCCGTCTAAAACCTATTCTCTTTATATATATTGAAAACTACTATGGTTAATTTCTAGCAAAAATTAATAAAACATCTAGAGACAAATCTTGCATTCGCGCGATTAGGTGGCCATAAATCAATTTCATCACATATTCTCTCCAACCGCACGGAAAAAAAATTTTCCCCCACACAATATTATTGGTAAATGTTCAAAATTCAACCATTCACCCTAATTCCTCCCATTCGCCAGGATTTACAAATGCCACATATTAGAGTAAAATCAGAAGTTTTCAACAAGTCGACTGCAGGGCTGCTCGACGAAATCAATAATTTAACATGACTAGGTAAATTAACCATCGCCCACTTCCAAAAGCTGCTCGAATCATCACTGAAGACTAACTGGTAATGTATTAAATATGAATAAAAATTTAATCCACCATGCATGCACTCTTAAGCAGTAGATTTCCAGGATGACCATCTCAGCCTCAGGCCACCGAATCTCAGCCCTACACCTTGAACAATAGCAGATATTTTTTATCCTAGATACCGTAAACAAATTTATAACTCCAAGCGGGGTACGGCATATTTGACAATCAACCGCAAAGAAATAACCGCTTTAACAAAACTTAAATTCACTGATTTCGAAAAATAACCACACAAAAGGAACAAATTCAAGTAGTGCATACGCGTCACGTAGCAGCACCAACTCGCACCTCCCGAACACCACCACCCGCTTTCTTCTACTTCTGGTCGAAATTTAAAAGGAAGCTTGGACGACGCGTTCATGTAGCCACAAGATTTGAAGTTGAAGAGCGTGCAGCTGCAACACCAGCGTCGATCTCAAGGCAGGCTCTGTGGCCGGCCATCCGCATCCACCTTGATTGGGTTATTGGTGGCGTCTCTTTTTCTACACGGTGTATCAAATATTATCACTTATATTATTAAAAATGTTATTCCTAGCACGCGCTTTAGAAGGAAATAAATACGAAACTTTGTTTATTTATTGCTTGCGCGAATATTTGTTCATATTATTATGCTTGCGAGAACTCAAATTCAAATTATTTATCCAGTCCATGAATATATTCTACCGATTTTTTTAACGCGATTCAAATCTATGATCTAATAAATTGACAATTTTCCCAATGTGTGTCCATCTCTATTGATTTTCAGATGTTTCTCATCGTTCCTGAACATAATGGAGGCCCATAATATTTTCATAATGGAAGTGGCAATACCATGTTTACCTGAATCACAAATTTCCCGAGACCGTAATACGGAAAAGAAGTTTCAATCGATAAGTAGAAATTTTGAGTCTACATTCGTGCCTATTTTTCCGTTGCTATGATATTTATTAATAATTTCAGCTGAACTTTCGACGTAAATTTGTGTTCCCATGTTCGTAAATTTTCGAATATATGAAAGAGCTGCTGATTGAATGTTTTCATTAAAAATATTGATAAAGCCTCTTGCCAATACGTAATTAGGGGTAACCATTCGACAAATTGTTTGAACTTGGTACTCATAGCATAAAAGAAGTCTGAGACTTTTTTGTTCGTATAAATTTTTCGAAAAAAATTAAGAAAACGTGAAATTCAAAAGAAGGCCAAAAATAGGGGCACTGTAAAAATCTCCTCAGTCAATTAACGTGCTACACCATCGAGAGACATATCATTTGATTTGTAGGACCATATCTAGCACTTGACCGAACACTTGTTCCAAATTAAAATTTTTGGGGTGGGGGTATTTTTTTATTTTTTTCCAATTTGCACCCCCTCCTGTTTTTTCAATATATAATGCAAACTATAACGAAATAGAAAAATGTGACCAGATAATCGCTAAAGATTTATTATGCAAATAGAATGGTATATATATTAATGGTGCAGCTTGAAAATCATAGGAGGATATAGATTTTTGAGATAGCGTATTTTTAAAATTTTATTTATTCAGAGGAGCCAAATAACTAAAATTTATCGAAAAAAGGAGGAAATGCTCAAAAAATGTTGCTTGATACTGCAGCCCCAGCTTTTTTTATTGCCGTCTACTCGTTTTGAGGATGCCATCAAGCGTTTTTAGACTTATTTTTGCCCAGTTTACTGCGAATAATAAGCTATAAATGTGATTTTTTCTGCTTTATATAATTTACATCAAATTATCATTTTATAAAAGTTCAAAACGGCCTAGCGCTAAAAGCCTTGATAGTACATTCTGGGTATTAACTTTATTGAACGCGTCTTGTTTGAAGCTTTCAAACGAGCTCAAACTTTGCAATTAACGCGGATAATGATCTATAAATACTGTTTTAAAAAAAATTGTTAATAATTGTTATAACAGGTAATTTTATATAAAAGTTCAAATCAGCCTTACGCAAAAAATATTTCATGCATCCATAGTTGTTTCTTCATTGTACGCGTCTTGTTTTCATTCTTCAAACGAGTGCAAACACTTTGCAATTAACGCGAGTAATGAACTATAAATACAGATTTTACTAAAGAAGTATTTATAAACCATGGTTATAAAATGTTAAGTTTATAAAAGTTTAAAACGGCCTCACGAAAGAACCATGAAAGCTACCTCATTGCGGTTCGTTGCAGCCTCTATGTAATAATTCTTCCTACAAGATGAGATTAACACACGGAAAACGTAATTCTTTCGTTTTTAGGTCCAGACGCTCCCCTTAAATAGCAGGTATTTTTTCCCGACAAACTCACGTGGTCGCACAACAGGAGCAATAAGCCTCTTGCATGAATGTGCTCCATCGAAACAGTATATAAATGAGTGGTTAGTTTACATTGACATCTATATCCTAATTAATTTAATACATTCATTTTACGCTGTACACAATAGCTCAAGATAGATCACAACAGAGCTGCATGAAAAAAATATTCACGCTGAAACGCAGAGACAATATCAAGTTTCAACTCGAGCATAGCAACACTTAGTGAGAAAGCCCTCGATCAGAGGACAGCGCGAGCATAAGCATTGTGCAAAATTTACAGCGTGTCGATGGAAGCATTTGCAACGTGTATATACTAGCTTGCAATAGTTGCAGCCACTCCGAGGGAGGTCATAACAGCCAAACAGTTTGTCAAGTCCACATATTTTCCTGATTGAGAGACTATAAAAGTTACTCAGTTGTTGCTTAGTTAAAAAATTCTATAATATCTTAGGGAGAATGTTGGTACGCAATGTCCTATGTACAGAGGTCAATACCGCTGGAAAGTTGTAAATGTTAAGGTGGAACCAAATATTGTTCAATCGATAATTTTCTGCATGGAATACTGTTATAGATGTTACAGTCGAACTCAATTAGAAGAATAACCTGCGAAGCAATTATATGACCTGACAGTTGTTGTATTGAGTTCCACTTCTAGTGTATATCACTTTGCGAGTATAAGGATGCAATTTTTCGAAAAGTTTTTATCAGCAAAATTCGGCGCTGATGCTGATTTTCATATTATTCATGAAATGAATCATGAGCATCTCTCGGGCATCTTCAGAAACGTTGATCAGGAGTAATCAAAAAAATGCAGAATCTCTTTCGGTGAGTATTCTAAATGGTAAGAACACTGGAGTTATATTTGGGAAGTTCCCAATTTTATGCCAAAAATTTACAGCAAAACATAATACTCACCTGGTAAGACGTAAGATATTTTATAGCTGGATCGTAATATGATTGAACACTTGAATCTAGCTATAAAATATTTCAATGATATGATTGAGCACTTCAATCCAGCTATAAAATATTTCAACGATATGATTGAACACTTCAATATATTGCAGGACATTTTGGCGCAGACGTGAAGGCTTCATGCCTACGAGACTGAGGAGAGGATGGATTCTCCTGTCAGAAGCCTTCCAAGGCAGGAGTTCTGGGAGCCCTCATTGAGACGAGGAGGCTGCGTGGAGAGGAAGCCTAGCAGAGTTCGGGACTCAGAGCCCGGAAATCTACAAGCTGGGCGCAGGTAAATACTCTCTATGGAAGTATATTAACTTTGCACTGTATATGTAGGAGAATATTTAGCTGCCTGATACCATTCTGGGCAGAAACCAATGGACTTCCAGTGCAGGCGGGGTTGTTATAGTTGCTTGAGGTGCCGTGATGTGCAGTGCACAATGGACTCGAGAAAAGGTTGTAGAACGTCTTCCTGCTTCAGAAGCTACGGTTCGCTTGACCAAAGGCTTGTCAAAATGTGAGTATTCCTGCATTTAAAGCCTCAGTAGTTAATTAGAAACGTCATCCTCATCAACAGAATGTTTATTTTCCTGTACGTATTACCTCAATGCAGTATGATACTAAAAAAATACTCGCGGACATGTCTTCGTGGAAGAGTTTATTCTTAAAATTCCGTATATTAAATATTAGGTTCCTTTAAAAATATTGTCCGCCTGGTGCGTGTATATCGTACGCAGCAGAACCGTAGTCGATTTTAATTTACGGATAGGATTCAGTTCGGTGCTGGCTCTCGATTTACCTGGTCGAGGGAAATATTTGGTACGTGTTTTACTGACGACTTGTGTTCTTGTATTTACGTGATTTTACGTCTTGATGTACTTATGGTCGAAATAAAATATTTTACTCAGCTTTAATTATCATATGTGCAATACTATTTTATTCTAATTTTATCCGTTTTGTTTCAGAAACCGATTGAAAGTAATAAGAAGTCGCGTTTTCAAAATCCTTCGTAACTACGAAAGATTCAACACCGTATGTCACATTAGTTATATTTTATGTATAAATAAATGCCTATGACATAATTTTTGAGGATTATCCCATTCAAACTATCAATTATAGAAATCCGGGTATCTCGCATAATTCCCTGCTATTTAAACTTTAGACCAGAAGGCCAGTGCCTGATTCTTGCCGGCCACGAGAGACATAAGAGTATGATATCACTTTACTGTCATTGGAGGCTGGAACCACTTTAAAAAGACTATACTTATATTTGAACGAATATTTAACGAGGTATGAAAAACATACGGAATTAAATTCGTTAAGAATTCGAAAAGGTTTCAAATATTAACAGCTTGAAACGTGGCAGCAATATTTTCAGCAGGCCTCACTATTTGAACGTTATTTATTAAAATGAAAAATTCGACTGGTTTTCGTAAACACATCACGATATAAAAATTGTTTACGCAGAAGATTTTGATTAATTCGCACTGGACGACAAGCTCATGTTTCTCAAATTTAAAAATCCGAATTGATGCAGCCGACCAATCCTGCTCACGAACGTCGCATTGGCATTTCTCGTTTTGTTCAAATATACAAATCAAACATGAGCCA